CAAAGTGCTGGGATTACAGGAGTGAGCCACTGCACCCGGCCTGACTACTCTCATGTTACTCGTCTGAGCCGTTTTGAGTGTTCTGTTCCTGATGAGATGATAATGGTGAACATGGTATCAAGGATTACTGCTTTGTTTGGTGGGTTTTTCCCCCTTTGACCTTAATAAGATAATTCAGATGTTCTTATTTCTTGGTTCTTGTTTATTTTTGAGCAAACAGCAAGGTATGGTGGAAAGAATAATTTTCAAATTTGACCTGACTCTGAAATCAAGCTTTGTCACTTAGATAGCTTAGATCAACCTCTGGGACTTGTTTTCTTGTCACTGACAGCATGGAGCTTATACTGACTGCCCCACTGGGTTTTGGTGAAGAAAATAAGAAAATGAATATGAATGTGCTTTTGTACTTTACCCAGAGCTATGTAGCAGAGGTTAGTATTGTTATTCTAAATATAACTTACAGAGTAATTAAGCTAAACATGGGAGGTATTCATTTAGTAACAACCTTGACAAACCTCAAACATGATGTATATATATTTGTTCTCCCTTAAAATTTAGGATGTTAGCTCAAAGCTCCAGTTGACAAAACGTATAGGCATTTTAGGTACTGAACAAAAAGAGAGGAAGGACAAGAATTTCTAGGACCTGCAAATGCAAAATCAGAGCATTTTCAGAGATGGGACACATTTCCAGGTTCTAAAGGGAGAAGCAAGATTCCTTTTTTTTTTTTTTTTCTGACAGTCTCGCTCTGTTGCCCAGGCTGGAGTGCAGTGGCGTGATCTCGGCTCAGTGTAAGCTTCCGGGTTCACGCCATTCTCCTGCCTCAGCCTCCCACGTAGCTGGGACTACAGGCACCTGCCACCACACCCGGCTAATTTTTTGTATTTTTAGTAGAGATAGGGTTTCACCATGTTAGCCAGGATAGCCTCGATCTCCTGACCTCATGATCTGCCTGCCTCGGCCTCCCAAAGTGCTGGGATTACAGGCGTGAGCCACCGTACCCGGCAAGAAGCAAGATTCCTGAGCTGCGAAGGTACTTCAGAAGATGATTCCCAATAGCATGGTAACATGGCACTGGTGCACAGGGACCTACAACTGGCTGAGGAGCCCACAGTTATCATTGCACTCAGTCTATCTGGGGGGCGTGCATGCATTTATGATGATC